GGGTTCGAATCCCCAGCCCGGACCCGCCAAACAACGACGACTGCAACAAAAAAAAATAGCCAGGTGTTGTGGCTGGGGGCCGTGGGTCCCAGCTACTTGGGAGGCGGAGGCAAGAGCCTCGCTTGAGCCCAGGAGTTGGAGGTTGCTGTGAGCGTGATGCCATGGCAGTCTACCCAGGAGGATAGCTTGAGGCTCCGTCTCAAAAAAAAAAAGAAACGAAAAAAAAAGTTGAGAAAATTCATATATTTTCAGTTCTGAAGACCCTTTACTGAATTCCCAAGGAAGATATGGTAAAGTGAACTACCTTAACAAATCATTTCTTTTCTTTTTTTTTTTTTTTGAGACAGAGTCTCACTATGTCACCCTGGGTAGAGTGCTGTGGCATCACAGCTCACAGCAACCTCAAACTCTTGGGCCCAAGCAATTCTCCTGCCTCAGCCTCCCAAGTAGCTGGGACTACAGGCACCCACCACAGCGTCCAGCTATTTTTTTGTTGCAGTTGTTTAGCTGTCCCAGGCCAGGTTTGAACCTGCTACTCTTGGTGAATGTGGCTGGCACCGTAACCACTGTGCTACAGGCGCTGAGCCTAACAAATCATTACTTAAAAAAATGAGTTCTGTTGTTTGAAAAATTGTTAAATACCTAAAATTCCTATGTACTATTTCAATTACTATAGTTCCACAACCCCTTATCCACTTCAATATTCTTAAATGAAATGTATAAATGCATGAATATGCACATTAAGCAAGATAAATGAAGACCAAAATAATTTGGGTCATGTTTTCATGGTTTTGAAATTTTAGTTAAGATACTATAAACCGGCTTGGCACCTGTGGCTCAAGCGTGTAAGGCTCCAGACACATACACCTGAGCTGGCAGGTTCAAATCCAGCCCAGGCCTGCCAAAACAGCAAGGACAGCTGCAACCAAAAAATAGCTGGGCGTTGTGGCAGGCGCCTGTGGTCCCAGCTGCTTCGGAGGCTGAGGCAGGAGACTCGCTTGAGTCCAGGAGTTGGAGGTTGCTGTGAGCTGTGATGCCATAGCACTCTACCCAGGGGAATAGCTTGAGGCTCTGTCTACCAAATAAAGAAAAAAAAATAGCCGGGCGTGTGGCAGGCACCTGTAGTCCCAGCTACTTGGGAGGCAGAGGCAGGAGAATTGCTTGAGCCCAGGAGTTGGAGGTCGCTGGGAGCTGTGACGCCACAGCACTCTACCCAGGGCAACAGCTTGAGGCTCTGTCTCAACACAAAAAGATACTATACCTGTACCACCAATACTAATTGATGAGTTGACTTTTTTTTCTGAGATGGGCTCTCACTACGTTGCCCAGGCTGTAGTGTGGCAGCTATTTACAGGTGCAGTCAGTGCACTGCAGCCTGTAACTCCTGAGCTCAAGTGATCCTCCACCTCAGTCTCATGTATGTACCACTGCACCCAGCTGATGGCTTGACTTTTTAAATGCAACTTGAAAAACTATGCTCCAAGTATTTATGATTAACTTCTCATTTTAGAGATGGCTCACATGCTAAAGACTTTACAAGTACCTACTTCATTTACAAATAAATTACCATCACAAAATCTCTTCACTTCACTCTATTCCTCTTGCCATTGCCACCACTCTAGCCTAGGCCCACATAACTTTATAGCAAGCTGTCTTGTTATTTTAACAGCTTTTCTACCTATCTCCCCACAGTCTTACTCTTTTTTCTTTTTTTTAATTTTATATTTAGATACACCTCTTAGCATTAAAGGCTTCCTACTCTTTAATCAATCCTATGTACTGCTACCAGACAAATACCCCTACAATGCATTCTATATAATATACTCTAATTTGAAGAGTGAGGTGGCATCTTATTGCTTTAGAATAGTTTAAAACTACTCCATCTGATATTTCTTAACTCTCTACATCAATGATTCTCAAAGTATGGTTCCCAGACCAGTATCATCAGCAATGAATAAATACTAAATGCTCAGTTAAATACTAGATTTTGAAATAATGGGTTATTCATTTTTCTGAGGTGGCTGCAAACTTAATTTTTTAAAAAATAATTTACTGCTCAATAATATGTAGCATGACTTTCTATGCCTGGGCTACATATATGGCTCACACCTGTAATCCTAGCACTCTGGGAGGCTGAGGTGGGTGAATTGATTGTTCAAAACTAGCCAGAGCAAAGCAAGACCCTACCTGCTAAAAATAGAAAAATTAGCCAGGTATTGTGAGGCATCTGTAGTCCTAGCTACTGGGGAAGCTGAGGTAAGAGGATCATTTGAGCCCAAGAGTTTGAGGTTGCTGTGAGCTATGACGTTATAGCACTCTATCCTAGACTCTGTCTCAACAACAAAAACTCAAAAGAGAGAGAGAGAATGACTTTCTAAAAAGAAAACCAATATCTAAGCTGAGAGGGATTTATTGTTTAATAAAAAGTAAAATGGCCAGACACAGTGGCTCATTTCTATAGTTCCAGCAGGGAGGCTGAAGCAGGAGGACTGCTTAAGCCCAGTAGTTCAAGACCAGCCTTGGCAACATAAGCAAGACACTGTCACCAATTAAAAAAAAAAAAAACTAGCTGAGTATAGTGGCATGGATCTGTAGTCCTAGTGATTTAGGAAGGTAAGGCAGGAGGATTTGCTTGAGTCCAAGAATTCAAGGCCTGGGTGACAGAGCAAAACCCTCTTTTTTTTTTTTGAGACAGAGCCTCAAGCTGTCACCCTGGGTAAAGTGCCATGGCATCACAGTTCACAGCAACCTCACACTCCTGAGCTTAAGAGATTCACTCGCCTCAGCCACTCAAGTAGCTGTGACTACAGGCACCGCCACAAAACTCAGCTATTTTTTGTTGTGGTTATTGCAATTGTCATTGTTATTAGCTGGCCCAGGTTTGAACTCGCCAGCCTCAGTGTATGTGGCTGGTGCCCTACTCACTGAGCTATGAGCACTGCCCAAAACCCTCTTTTAAAAAAAAGCAAAATATGGGGCAGTGCCTGTGGTTCAGTGAATAGGGTGCTGGCCCCATATACCAAGAGTGAGGGATTCGAACCCGGCCCCAGCCAGCTAAAAGAGTAGTGGCAACTGCAACAAAAATAGCCAGGTGTTGTGGCGGGCACCTGTAGTCCCAGCAACTCAGGAGGCTAAGGCAAGAGAATCACCCTAGCCCAAGAACTGGAGGTTGCTGTGAGCTGTGATGTCACAGCACTCTACCGAGGGCAACAAAACAAAACTCTGTCTCAAAAAAAAAAAAAAAAGCAAAGTATATTTCATCATCTTGATAGGTAATTTAAACAAATTTATATCAATAAAAACTCATCTCTATAATAAAACTTTCTCTATGCTTGTTAATAAAATAAAACTATTTGTACATCTTTTATCTGTAGAGATCCATTTAATAATAAATGCAAACACAAAATCCAGAGTTTGTTTCTCTGGAAAACAAATAGCAAGCATACAGCTATAGATACCAGATATACAGAAAAACAGTGATATTGCTAGTTTGAAGCCAAGTCACCTAAACATAAATTATAGTTATAATATTAAGTTTCACCAGCTTTCAGAATAGGAAGAAGACTAAACAAAGAAATTCACTCTCATGGAGATAAAACTGAGTATGCTAGGATGGCCTGGTCCCACAATATGAACCAAGATGGTCTACTACATTACCTGGCAAAACGCTCCTTATCATTAGACATCTGATCATCATCACACCTGATGGAAGAAAAAGGGATTACTTCAAAACATTACACTTCTTATACCTATTTCACTCTATAATGAAAATCAGAAAGAGAAAATTAGAAATGTAAATATATTTCACAGGAAAAATGTCAACAAAAAAGTATCATAAAACAATAGAGAACAGAACTTACAAAATCCATGGCTACTGTATGTCAAGTTTTTGATGTTTCCATTACCCTTACCAGACACACTAAAAAAAGACAATCTAGTGAGAATACAGGTTATCATACCTACTCTAATGTTGGGAATATTTCTGTATTTTTTTTAAATTCTGGTAAAAAAAACATAAAATGTACCATCTTAACCATTTTTAAGTTCAGTAGTATTAACCATATTCACATTGTTGTGCAGCAATGTCTAGAACTTTTTCATCTTGTAAAACTGAAACTCTATATACTCTGAATATCATTTTCCCATTTCTCCCTGCTGGCAACCACCATTCTACTTTCTATGTCTGTGAGTTTGACGACTGTGGATGTTAAATCCAATTGTTCAGTATTTGTATTTTTGTGACTGGCTTATTCTTTTAGTATAATGTCCTCAAGGCTCATCTATGCTGTAGCATGTGACAAGATTTCCTTCTTAAGGCTAAATAATATTCCAGAGTTTGTTTGTGTGTATTATACTTTCTTTATCCACACGTCTGTCAGTGGACATTTGGATTGCTTCTACCTGTCGGGAGCCAAATGACGCCAGATGGCCGCCCATCCCCACTGTCTGGAGTATGCTAACCTTTATCAGATAAGGAGCTGCTTTTCCCTTATCAGACAAGGAGCTGTTCTTCCCAGAGAAGCCATAAAATGTTTCAGACACATCGTTTACATTCCCAGCAGGAGATTGATGCAAGCTCTAACTCCTGCATTCCTCTGCCCCCCACCTCTTGTCTTCTCTGAATGCTATAAAAACTGATCTGTTACCCCCATTAAATGAGGCCTTGACAAGAAATCTGCCTGGCCTCCTCCTCTTTCTCTCGCCCATTCTCTTTACAGGCTGGGTCCCCCTCGCCCCCCGAATAACCGTGTCCCGCAGGACGGGACATCTACCTCTTGATAATTATGAAAAATGGGGCAATAAACATGGTGTGCAGGCTTGGCATGTGTAGCTCAAGAGGCTAAGGCACCAGCCACATACACCTGAGCTGGCGGTTTCAAATCCAGCCTGGGCCTGCCAAACAACAATGACAGCTACAACCAAAAAATAGCCAGGCGTTGTGGCAGGCACCTGTAATCCCAGCTACCTGGGAAGCGGAGGCAGGAGAATCACTTGAGCCCAGGAGTTGGAGGTTGCTGTGAGCTGTGATGCCACAGTACTCTACCCAGGGTGACAGCTTGAGGCTCTAGCTCAAATAAATAAATAAATAAACATGGTGTGCAAATATCTCTCTAAGATTCTACCTTGCATATATACCCAGAATATATGCTGAGAAGCATTACTGCTGGATCACATGGTTACTCTACATTTATTTATTTTTCTTTTGAGACAGAGTCTCACTATGTTGCCCTCAGTAGAATGCCGTGGTATCACAGCCCACAGCAACCTCAAACTCTTGGGTTTAAGCTATTCTCTTGCCTCAGCCTCCCAAGTAGTAGCTAAGATTATAGACACCTAGCACAATGCCCGGACATTTTTCTGTTGCAGTTGTCATTGTTGCTTAGCTGACCTGGGCTTGGTTCAAACCTGCCAGCCTCAGTGTATGTGGCTGGCACTGTAACCACTGTGCTACAAGTGCTGAGCCCACATTTTATTTTTTGAGGCAAGACCATACTGTTTTCCACTGTGGCTGCATCATTTTACATTCCTATCAATGGAGCACAAGGGTTCTAATTTCTCTACATCAGGGGTCCTCAAACTTTTTAAACAGGGGGCTAGTTCACTGTCCCTCAGACCGTTGGAGGGCTGGATTGTGGGTCCCGGGACGAGTCGGCTGCTAAGCAGGATAGGCAGTAGTGGCAAAAACACCACACTCAGTGGGCCGGATAAATGTCCTAGGCAGGCTGCATGTGGCCCGCGGGCCATAGTTTGAGGACGCCTGCTCTACATCTTCACCAATACTTGTTATTTTCTGGGTTTATTTTTTGATAGTGGCCACCCTAATAGGTGGATCTGTATTTCTCTAATGATTAGTGATGTTAAGTATCTTTCTTTCTTTTATATTTTCTTTTTTTGAGACAGAGTCTCAATAATATTCCAGAGTTCAAGAGCAGCCTGAGGAAGACTGAGACCCCATCTCTACTAAAAATAGGAAAAATTAGCCAGGCATAGTGATGGGTACCTGTAGTCCCAGCTACTGGGCAGGATGAGGCAAGAGGATCTAGAGCCCAAGAATCTGAGGTTTCTGTGAGCTATCATGACACAGACACTGTCTTAAAAAAAAACAACAAAGAAAAGAGAACAAACTAAGCAACTGGCCTTCAGCAAAAACATCTTTTCCTGAAAGAATCCCTTCATCAATATACAGTAGAGCCTCTATAGTTAACCACCTCCCTGCAATTACTACTTCCTTAAATGGACCTAATTTTCACAGACTAGACAAGCACCCAGGCACATATCAGTATAGGAGACCTATATAGGAGACCGAGTTCCTATGTTTATTCCCTCTGTATGTTGACCAGTTTGCGACAGTCCCTTGGTGGTCAACTCACTCAGGTTCTACTGTAGTCCATTTTCAAAGCTCCATAAGACTCATTACACAGGGCGGCACCCATAACTCAGTGGGTAGGGTGCCAGCCACACACACCAAGTCTGGTGGGTTCAAGCCCAGCTGAGCCTGCTAAACAACCATGACAACTGCAACCAAAAAATAGGTGGGCATTGTGGTGGGCACCTGTAGTCCGAGCTACTTGGGAGGCTGAGGCAAGAGAATCAATTAAGCCCAAGAGTTTGAGGTCACTGTGAGCTGCTAATGCCACAGCACTCTACTGAGGGCGACGTAACAAAACTCTGTCTTAAAAAAGAAAGAAAAAAAGAAAAGATTCATTACACAAAAATACAAATTCAAATTCCAGCTACCTAAAGGAAGAGTCAGTAAGTATCAAGGGGTATGACAAAGTAGTACACTAAGGACATCTCCACACACTGAATTTTATCTCCCAGTATCTCTTCCCTTGTGCAGACCCCTCCCACACTGACTCAAGACTTAAACATATGACTTGTTTTGGCCAGTGGGACATTAGCAAATATCACACAAGCAGAAGCCTAATAAGCACTTGCACAACGGAACTTGCCCTAGAGACTGTAGCCATCACCAGATGAAGAAACTCAGTCTGGGCTCGGCGCCTATAGCTCAGCGGCTAGGGCGCCAGTCACATGCACTGGGGCTGGTGGATTCAAATATGGCCTGGGCCTGCAAAACAACGACAACTGGAACAAAAAAAACAGTCGTCGTTGTGGCAGGCACCTGTAGTCCCAGCTACTTGGGAGGCTGAGGCAAGAGAATTGCTTAAGCCCAAAGAATTGGAGGTTGCTGAGAGCTGTGACGCCACGACACTCTACCGAGGGTGGCTTAATGAGACTCTGTCTCTTTTTTTTTTTGAGACAGAGCCTCAAGCTGTCCCCTGGATAGAGTGCCATAACATCACAGCTCACAGCAACCTCCAACTCCTGGGCTCAGTAGAGTCTCCTGCCTCAGCCTCCCAAATAGCTGGGACGACAAGCGCCCGCCACAATGCCCGGCTATTTTTTGGTTGCAGCCATCATTGTTGTTTGGCAGGCTTGGGCTGGATTCAAACCCACCACTTTAGGTATATGTGGCTGGCACCTTAGCCACTTGAGCCACAGGCACCGAGCCGAGACTCTGTCGCTTAAAAAGAAAGAAATTCAGTCTGGCCAACTTAAGGATCAAAGACCATATATGGCGGGAGAGGGGACACCCAACCATTCCACCTAAGTCCAATTTTCACCTTATCAGCAAGCTAAATGCAATCTTATGAGGGAGTCTAGGTGAGATCAGCAGAATAAACATGCAATCAATCCACAGATATAAGAATTTGTTCTTTTTAAGCCATGTAGCATAGCAACAGCAATAGGTAACTGATACAGTCTTTTGGTTTTTTTTTTTTTTTTGGAGACAGAGTCTCACTTTGTCACCCTTGGTAGAGTACTGCAGCATCATACATCACAGCAACGTCAAACTCGGGTTCAAATGATCCTCTTGCTTCAGACTCCCAAGTACCTGGGACTGCAGGTGCCCACCATAACACCTGGCTATTTTTAGAGACGGGATCTTGCTTCTACTCAGCCTGGTCTTAAGCTCCTGAGCTCAAATAATCTACCTGCCTCAGCCTCCCAAAGTGCTAGGATTATAGGCGTGGACCACCACGCCCTGCCTAGATATAAATGCTCCTCACTGAGGTCCTTTCTCTGGTGTAATTAACAAAATGCTCGAAATTTTTCTAGGATATAGTACAATGTGCATATTTAGAGTTTTAATATGAAGCACTTTTTTTTAGGCCTAAGGACAAAATTATGACAAATTATAAGTATATAAAGATTTAAACTCAATTTTATTTATTTATTTTTTTTTGAGACAGAGTCTCACTTTGTCACCCTTGAGTAAAGTGTGTGGTGTCATAGCTCATAGCAACCTCAAACTCTTGGGCTTAAGCGATTCGCTTGCCTCAGCCTCCCAAGTAGCTGGGACTACAGGTGCCTGCCACAGTGCCTGGCTATTTTTTGGTTGTAGTTCTCATTGTTGTTTGGCAGGCCCAGGCTGAGTTCGAACTCGCCAGCTCTGGTGTATGCGGCTGGCATCCTAGCTGCTGAGCTACAGGCGCAGAGCCCATAAACTCAATTTTAATCTCAGAAGTCTAGAGAAAGATTTTCAATCTCTTACCTCAAAAATTTACTGTTTCCTTCTCCATCATCATCAAAATCCAGCCTGGGGAAAGCCAACAATAAATATTGTAAGAATGCTGACACAGAACATTAAGAAATTAAAATTTCTCTACCTATAGAAAGGAACGAAACGAGGAAATGGGCAGAAGTCAAACAAAGCTACATTACTTTTTCCTCACAGGGCCAAACCAGAATAAAGAAAAGGAGTGTCAACTACTACTTTAACACTTTTCTAGGTTAACAGTTCCACCTTAACCAAAATTTTGCACCAGACTATAACCTCTACAAAGAAACAAATTCACTCAAAAGAGAAAAGGAAAAAAATTAACATAAATAATTCAGGTCCGCTCGGCGCCTGTGGCTCAAGTGGCTAAGGCACTAGCTACGTATACCCAAGGTGGCGGGGTCGAATCTAGCCCGGGCCACCAAACAATGACAGCTGCAACAACAACAAAAAAAATACCCGGGCATTGAGGCAGGGGCCTGTGGTCCCAGCTACTCGGGAGGCTGAGGCAGGAGACTCGCTTGAGCCCAGGAGTTGGAGGTTGCTGTGAGGTGTGATACCACAGCACTCTACCCAGGGGGACAGCTTGAGGAGCCTGTCTCAAAATAAATAAATAAATAATAATTCAGGTCCAGTTTTCATTCTATAATCTACTCTAAGCTATCTAGCTACCTTTCTAAAACACCTCACAAAACAGGGATGTTACATAAGGGTGTGATTCAAGACTTAAGAAGATTATTGGATAATGCTTCTTTCCACTATTTATCTAATAGAAATATACGCTGCATATAAGACACTGTGGTAGATGAAAAACCCTAAAGAACACTCAAAGGGCTCTTTGCCTAGAAAAATACAAACATAAAACAAATAAAACTATGAAAGTACCATGTAAGAAGCATAATCAACATGCTATAAATGTGCAGTGAAGAAGTGAATTTCATTTCAGGGGTTAGGAAAGATTCACTGCAGCAATGTTCACTGTAACATTATATGTTACATATACTAGCAAATCTTTTTTTTTTTTTT